TTGTCTAGATAATAACAAGAGCTGTGCACACTGATCGGGGGAAATACAAACAGAAACAACAGATGAAGAAGTCTCAGCTCCACCTCATGAGTCTGTTATAGTCGTCCATGAACCTCCCCCTCAACCCCCTGCTGCAAAGAACATTCGTGCCGAAAACAAATCAAACAAAGGTAAGTTCATTGATTTAAGGTACTGATTTTGTTATCTTTTGTTTTAGCTTTTGTAATCTCATAAGTCTCCTCCGTCTTTTGTCTAACCTTATTAAAATTTGACAGCCTTTATATGTATACAAGCTGAAATGAAAATGGCTTTCTTTTGGAATTTTGATTTTTATAATTATTAGGGCCCCACATCGAAGATGCAGGTGTCCTATATTAATCAGGTTGTCCGTCTGTCTGTCCGTTTTTTTCTTTTGCACAATATTGATGGAAGTAAATGATGGAGTAAGTTTAAAAAAAATTACAAGATGATTTCCCATGCATCCTAGTTCTGCTTGGTAATTTTTCGGGCAGATCTGATTCAAAATGGCTGCTAATCAGCCATCTTGGATTTTAACATTAAAAAATATATGTTTTTGCTCTTTAATTACTGGTTAACATTTTGTAATGACATTATGATGCAAAGTTGGTCACAATACAACAAGAAGTCAACTTATCGAAGGTCAAGGTCATTGGATCAAAGTCAGATTTTGTAACTTTTTACTGCTTAACAATTTATTATGACATGATGAAGCAAAGTTGATCAGAATTAAACAAGGAGTCAACTGACCAAAGGTCAGAGGTCAAGGTCACGGTCAAATTATGTAGCTTTCCATGAATGAGCATTTTATGACATTATGAAACAAGTTGGTCGGAATTTAACAAAGAGTCACCTGGCTTAATTCAAGGTCAAATTTAGTATCTTTTCACTGGTGAACATTTCTTTATGACACTTTTTACTGATGAACATTTTGTTATGGTATTATGAAGCAAAGTTGGTCGGAATTTAAGAATAAGTCAACTGACCAAAGATCATGGTCACTGGGTTAAAGGTCAAGGTCATTTGGGTCCAAAGGTCAAAGTGGATCTCTTGACTTTGACCCCGGTTCTTGTTGGGGGAGGTATTTAAGGTGAAATAAAACAGATCAAAGCCAACAAATGAGTAGTGCACTGGTATTTACATTTCTACACAAGGTGAATTAGTAGAATATTCCTAAGCAATCACCGATAGATTTTGCTATTACATTTATATAGATGTTATATACCATAAACACACAATGAACTGAAAAGCTTTTCTTTTTGAATCTCTTCACACCATATCGTAAATATATTAGTAATCCGATCAACTGTTACAATGCTATTGTGTTGTGTCAAAGTACATGTAGGAAATTAGAGGTAAACCTGTTGCTTAAAATTCTTGTTTACTTCCTGCTTGTTTAGGAGACTCATTTTAATTGCAAAATGACAGATGGTGGAGCTTATACCTGGGACTGGGGTTTATGTGTATCCCAAACACATAAAAGCCGCACAGAGGAAGACGAAGGGGAACAGGTCGCCAGATATTTGATGTCAGTGTTCTACACCAACAATGAGCTGGTCAACCTGGGAAACCTTTCTGGGTGCAACGGAAAGGAAGGTTTTAACCAGACCATTGTTGGAACAAGAATTGGTAATTATGAATTAAAACTTTTCATAACAGCACAAAAGAAAAGAGTTCTACAGCAATTCTCTTTACGAGTAGTAATGTCACTGAAATTACAAAAGTATCGCTATAGCTACATTAATGGTGCCCGTCAGTGAATACTAAATAGCAAGTTTACCATAAAATGCTTCCGATAGAATTTCACCATTCATATTCATTAATTCCTAGAATTTTAAGCGATGAAGAAAGAACTAAGAAAATTTAATAATTTTGCATTTATGTTAGTAGCTATTTTTCCTAATTCATCTGCTTTTCAACAAGTTATGCTGTGCCGATTCATGGGAAAAGTGGCCTGTCAGAAATCAGGTTTTCAATGAGGACAATAATCAGTGCTTTGGTCGGCTTGGCCAGGAAGAACTCAACCACATAGAACAAATGAGAGATTTCAAATTTTTAGAATTATTAATATAATTGTTTGTTGTAACTTTACAAGAGATATTCTATTAATGATTATTTTAGCAATGGTTATGTGAAAAAGTTGTGAATACAAGAGAATAAAAGTGAGTATGCTAGTGTCAGAGCTGGAGAGAGTCATAGTCAATGCAGGGCACTCCCTGGAAGTCAGCATGAGAGTATATTTATTACATTATTGTGTATTATATTGTATAATAATAGTAACTACAGAAAGTATTTATATAATAGTAACTACAAGAAAATATTTATAGTGTAGTAAGTGCAAGAGAATATCTATATGATAAATAGTATCTTCAAGAAAATATTTATATAATAGTAGCTAAAAGAAAATATCTATTTATATAATAGTAACGCAAAGAAAATTATTTATATTATAGTTACTACAATGGAATATTTATTTATATAATAACTACAAGAAAGCAGGTGATATATGATAGTAACTTCAAAGGAGTACTCTATAAAATAGAATTTCATTTAAACAACAGATCCAGTATAGGTTAGGTTATGAAATTTGTTTGATACCTTTTCATAATACATCAGAGGTTTATGAAGCTTTAAAAAGTTATACCTTACAAATACATTTTCTCCATTTTTCAGTATCTCAGAAAAGTATAACCTTTTGTACCTTTTTAGTAACTAAATAAAGTTATAACTTTGTTGTACCTTTTTACTAGAACTGTTTCGGTACCTTTTCAGTATCTCAGAAAAGTATAACTTTTTTGTACTTTTTTAGTAACTAAATAAAGTTATAACTTTATTGTACCTTTTTACTAGAACTGTTTCTGTACCTTTTCAGTATTTCAGAAAAGCATAACTTTTTTGTACTTTTGTAGTAACTAAATAAAGTTATAACTTTATGGTACCTTTTTACTACCTAGTGCTGCTTTAGTGGCTAAATGTAACGCTTGTGTACCTTTTTGTTTGCCAAAAAAGTAATGATTGAACTGAACAAAGTGTTTGAGTGTAACTTTTCAATACCTTTTTGTATCTTTTTAGTACTAGATTGAAACTCTCTTTCTCACAAGGTTCCAATCTAGCATCAAAAGTTATAACTTTTTTGTACCTAAAAAGAAGTATTTTTCTTTGTAACTTTTTTCGGCATGCATGCATGATCGACTACGCACGTAGGTTGAATCATAGATATAATTATACAGAACACTGCATATAACCTCTAACAATGTTGAAATATAGTCAATTCAGTTGATGTGCTTTTTATTTTTTCTGGTGAAGTTTTCATTTTTGAGTCATTACACTGTATTCTTCACCATTCTTGAGGAGGCACGGTAGTCCAGTGGTAGACCGCCGGGCTCGTGACCGAAGGGTTGCCGGTTCGCGCCACGGCACGGCAATGTGTTGTATCCTTGAGCAAGATACTTTACTCTGCTTGTTCCAGTCTACTCAGCTGTAAATGAGTACGTGGTTGGGCAATGTTAGAATTGTTGAATGCTAGCTGTTAGTGCCGAAATGGCAGCTCCGGCTGTATGCTCCCCAGGGAGTTGAGAAATGTACTGGCTAGTTGCAAAGGCCCTATAACCACGGATAATAATTTGTGAACTGCTTTGAGACGACCTACGCACTAGGTTGTGATAAAGCGGTATATAAGAACCTCCAATTATTATTATTATTATTACCTAATAAATAATAGCAACTGAATTTCCAATATCAGTTCATATTTATAACAAGAGGTCCACAGGGCCTGATCACTCACCTGGATATGGTTACTTGTGCTTGATATCAGGTTAAGATATATCACTTCATGGTAGGTACTGTATGTACATATGAAATTTCAGCAAGATCCATCCATTAATTCTCGAGATATAGCAAGAACAAACTTCAAAAGTCAAAATCCAAGATGACGCCCTGTTGGCCATCTTGTTTTAATGAACACTCCCTAATAGTAACAGCACTACAAGACAACTTGATGGAGACAAAATGGGGATAAAGTCCCATGATCCCTATGGTAGAAGAAGGATTTCAAAGGTTTTACCTCTATTTCCCCTATTGGGCTCCACCCCTCTGCCCTAGGGGCCACACCCACCGTTTATATAACATTGAGTGCCCTTTGCGCAAGGATTCTCCAGAACAAATTGGGATGAAATCCCCTAATCCCTGTGGTAGAAAAAGGATTTTGAATGTTTACCTCTATTTCCCATATTCGGACCCACCCCTCTGCCCCCAGGCAAGAATAAGGAACATAACAAAAACAATAGGTCTTTTCACCAGTTGGTGAAAAGCCCTAATAATATACAGCATTTGATATAGCTCTCTTTCTAGCTAACATAAGCCACTCTAAAGCGCTTTACAGTACATTGGTATACAATTAACACAATTAGCATAATACATTAATCAATACAACTTTTATTAATTCACAGGAGCTGCCTTATCAGGCGCTAACTGCTAGTCCTATGCCACCTGGCTAATATCTCCTTATGTGTGTATGCCTGTGTGTGTGCTGGAGATGTTAATGTGTTCTGTTTGTAGTGGGACTGTGCTTACAACGGCATCATTTATAGTGCCACCTCACTTGAATGCTACAGCACAGATACCGCAACATCCACCCCAGACCAATTTATACTCCACCTGGATTGTTGGAGTTGTGTGAAGAAGTTGTTAAATGGTTTTTCCATATTTAACCCCTGTGACCTTGAAAGTAGGTCAAGGTCCTTTATTTGAGAACAAAATATAGCACTCAGTCCCAGGTACATACTGGCCAAACATCATGGCCATATATGCTCCATTTCGTAAGCAGAAGTCGTTCAAAGTTAAAGTTGACGGACGGTGGACAGACAATTGACGACAAACGACACACCATACTATAAGAGTTAAAAATAATGCTGATGCCACACCATGGCATAACCTCACTTGGCCCTGAAAACAAAATCAACTGAATTATGCCACAGCAGATATAATAAAAAAAATCATACTCTCCTTTATTTGAAAACATTTGATTCTGATAACAAATTAGGGTTCTCAAGGTGTACATTTTATGCAGGTATTTTTGAGGAATATATGTTCCAACTTTGAGGATCACAGTGAATGAAAACTGTTCCACTTTTCTTTCACTTCCTTACTCTATCCTATCATTTTTATTTTGTAGAGTTCTTTGGGTTTTTTGGTAATGTGTCCATGTATTTGCATATGATTGACAGCATAACTTCATCAGCCCCACCCCCTATGGACAGCAGGCGGAAATCCCTGAGAAGAAAACAAAAGTATACAAATAACAGGTGTTATACCCTTACATATGATTACTGTTTAACTTAATGTGGGGTTAATATGACATGGAAATTAGTCATCAAAGTCCATATATTCAAATAGATTTACTAAGGAACATGCTTTATGAGAAAACTCTCTATTGCTGTTGGCGAGTCTTCCCTGAGGTTCGTTTCTGCGGGTTCGGCCTGTACTGGGGCCGTTGTTAAAGGGTTAGTTTCGTTGGACATGGCCCTCTCTCTCACCCCTGGCGTGGTGATAGTGTCTAGCTCGTCGTCCACCACTGTGCAGTATTTACTGCCCAGTCCGGTGGTAAGTGATGCCTGGGCCTAGCTAGCCTCGGCTGGTTTGTACCGTTGTTTGAGCACTGGTGTAAAAACCTATGCTCCCAGCTCTGTTTCTTGTGTCCCCTCCCTGGGTTTTCCTACAGTAAGTGCCGGCGCTGCTGCATTCGGGTTTGCCGGTGCAGGCTGCGTCCCCGGTGGGACTGGTTTTACTGGCCCTACAGGTTTAGGCCCTTCTGTATGTCAGTCTGGGTGGGGTTGGTCAGGTCAGCCAGGTGCGGCTTATGGCGGCGGGGGTATGGCCCCTGGTTCCCCCCCCCCCCCCAAAATGACTCTTCCTTGCCCATGGTAACTCCTTGTCCACTGTCTGTCGCAGCTCCCACGCCCTGTGGTGTCGGAGGTTCCGCCGCTGTGGTTTGGGAAGGGTTAGATTGGCCCCTTCCAGATTTGCCAGTCGCGGTCCGCTGTCCCATTTCGTACCTCATTGGAAAGAAAACACATCAGACAGTTGGGCTCTAGGAGTTCTGTCCAAAGGTCTCTGCATCCCGCTTCTTAGGGATCCACCTCTGTCACGAGAGCCTATCTTTTCCCCCCGTCTCCTTTCGATCCTGGAAAGGTGGAGGCTCTCTGGTCTCTGGTGCCTGGAGGCCCATCATCAAACTCAGTACGTTCAACACGTACGTTGATTCCCTGCACTTCCAGATGGAAACGCTGCGACACATCATTCCGTCAGTGCGTCCATCGATCTGAAGGATGCTTACATTCACATTCCTTTCCGGAAGTCGGCTGGGAAGTTCCTCAGGTTCACTTTCGAGCAAAAGGTTTATCAGTTTCGCGCTATGCCCTTTGGCCTCACTATGGCCCCCTTGGTTTTCATCAAGTTGTTGCAGGTAGTAGTGGGGCACCTCCACAGTCTCCGGGTAGATGCACACATCTACTTCGATGACTCCCTGTTGCTCCAAGTGGATCCAGTTGCCCTGTCTTGGAGCACAAGGTCGGTTCTTGGCGTACTGTGCCGCCTTGGGTTTATCCCTTCCAGGGAAAAGTCAGAGGTTCTCCCTTCCCAAGACTTGGTTTTCCTCGGTTATCCGTTCAGAAGGAGGATTTTTAACATTTATCATTATGTTCCCCCATTGTGCCCAGCCCCTCTGACCAAAGGGGGACCACATTCTCCATATATACAAAATGGATTCCCCCTCACCCCCTCTGAACCAAATCCCTCTAACTCACTACTGACGGAGAATGATTTGAAAGAATAATCTGAATTCCTCCTACTTGGCCCCCACCCTCTGCTCCCTGGGCCAAACCCATCACTTACACAGTGATACTTTTGCACAAGGATGCTCTACTCACAATTTTGGCCACAACCTCCATTTATACAAAATGAAGTCCCCTTTGCCCAAAGATGTCCTGGACCAAATTTGGTTAAAGTTCCTCTAATCATCCAGAAAGTGAACATAATGATGGTGGGCTAACAAGCTGTAAACTTGCTGCTAGAAGCTAATTTGGACTTTTCCAAGATTTACATATTACCTGTCTGCTAGCTACCATTTCTGCTTAACTTAACTCAGACACACCTGTAAAACCTGCTGATTAGAACCTCGTTAGTGAATCCCATGCCTCCCCAGTACTGTAGACATCCATCTGTGACTTCTCGAGCTAGTCGTCCACTCTTTAGCTTACACATGGAGGCCAGCATGGTCACATCATTTCCCTGAATATACTGGCCTGGAAATTACCAAGGAATCAAAGTTATTAGTGTTGTCCAAGCAAATGATTACAATCAGTTAATCCCTTAAACAGGTCCACCAATTATAAGATGATTAATTAAACCCCATGTGTAGTAACATTAAGGCTTTTACTAATGGTGAAAAGACCTATTGTTTTTGTTATGATTATTATATTATTTAAATTTAGGGCTTTGCACCATCAGGTGAAAAGACCTATTGATATTGTTATTTTTCTTATTCTGTTTATAAAGATTGATCAAGATTTTTTCACAAAGCCCTATTGTTATTTTTATGTGTCTTATTATTCTTCTTCTAATCATTATTCTTCTGCAATGATTTTGTAGCGTCTTAATCTTTTGATCGGTAGCAGATATGTTCATAGTCTTTCAGATATAGTGTAGGTCATGATTAAAAGGTGTTATTGAACATTTTCAAGTAGGTCAAAAGTATAATCTGGCGGCCATGACGACATAGGTATGTCATTGTTTTTTACTTTTTTAGCCAGATCTCAAAATCTATTTATGCAATATATCATTTGTAGATAATCTTCAGGGCTTACTTTTTCTCATTACATGTAAATACAAAACAAGAGGCCCATGGGCCTTAAAGGTCACCTGATATATTTATACAGAGTTGATTTTTTTTTTAACATGTACAGAAATATCATTCAAAGTGACAAAAAACAACAAGAGGCCCAAGAGGGCCTGTATCGCTCACCTGAATATGTAAGCAGTCATAGCAAAATATTCTCATTAAATATTATGTTGCACTAAAAATATTTCCCGCGCAAACTTTGTTGGTTCCATCTGTTGAAACTACCAGCAAAATATTATTACAAGATTCTATGCTTTTTGATTCTTCAGAAGTTGCTTGACATATTTTTCCCTGTGACCTTGTAAGTAGGTCAATGTCATTTTCCTTCTCAAATTGGTAGCTCTATTCCAAAAGCTACCAGCCAAATCTTATGAATCCATTCCTTTTAGTTCTTAAGAACAAATCCATTAAAATGTTGTTGACCTCTGTGACCTTGGAAGTAGGTCAAGGTCATTTTCATTCGCAAACTTTGTTGGGATCTTTCCCAGGAAATAACCAGCCGAATATTAAGGTTCTATAACTTCCAGTTCTTCAGAAGAAGTCATTTGAAGTGTTTGACATATCTGCCTCATATGTGACCTTAAAAGTAGGTCAAGGTAATTTTCATTCTCAAACTTTGTTGGGCTCCATCCCAGGAACCAATCAGCCAAATATAAAGATTCTATACCTTTTAGTTCATCAGAAGAAGTCGTTTGAAGTTTTTGACACATTTGACTCCTGTGAACTTGAAAGTAGGCCAAACTAATTTTCTTCCTCAAACTTTGTTGGGCTCTATCCCAGGAAGCCACCAGCCAAATATAAAGATTCTATACCTTTCAGTTCTTCAGAAGAAGTCATTTGAAGCTTTTGACACATTTGACCCCTGTGACCTTGAAAGTAGGTCAAGGTAATTTTCATTCTCAAACTTTGTTGGGCTCCATCCCAGGATGCCATCAGCCAAATAGAAGATTCTATACCTTTTAGTTCTTCAGAAGAAGTCGTTTGAAGTGTTTGACACATTTGACCCCTGTGACCTTGAAAGTAGGTCAAGGTCATTTTCGTTCTCAAACTTTGTAGGGCCTGTCCGTTCTTCAGAAGAAGTTGTTTAAAGGAAAAGTTGACGGACGAGGACAGACGGACGGACGGACAACGGACGCTGCGGTATGGCATAGGCTCACCATGGTCCTTCGGACCAGGTGAGCTAAAAATCCTTTAATCCCTATGGTAGGAGGGGGTGTTCTCGTTTCCCCCACTTTTTATATAACAAAGGAAAGTGTTGATTTAGGAAGACAATGGCAAACCAATTATAGTCTGTTTCATATATATATTTACCCCACAGATAACTTACCTGTGTGAAAGTTACCTGTGTGACTTGTAGCTTTCTTCTTTATGTTGGGTTTAAATAAGGTTTAAATATTTTTTGGGGGTTCAAATATCTTTATATATAATCGATATTTACCTCAATTTCCCTTTTCAAGTCAGCCCCTCTGCCCCCAGGGGGGCCATAATCACCGTTTATACAAAAATGAGTCCCTTTAGCCCCAGGATGCTCCAGGCTAAATTAGGATAAAATCCTTTAATCCCTACGGTAGGAGAAGGATTTTAAAGGTTTTACCTCCATTTCCCCTATTCGGCCTTGCCTCTCTGTTCCTAGGGGGGCCACACCCAACATTTATACAAAATTGAGTCCCCTTGGCCTAGGGATGCTCCAGACTAAATTTGGATAAATTCAGTCCAAATTTAGTCAAAATCTACCAGGCCGTTCAGGACAAGTAGCATTTTATAGGAAAAGTTGACTGACGGACAGACGATGGATGCTGTGGTATGGCATAAGCTCAACTAAAAGTGGACTAATAATATACAGCTACAGGCAAAATATCTGTGTTCGATCCATTTGAATCTATTAAATGATTTAAACATAAGACGCATCGTGTCATTTACTTCGTCGTCAACTTTCTGTTCGAGTTTGTTCATTCTGTGCTCACATTGTTCTACAGTAGCATTAAAAGTGTCAATTTTTGCGTTTACTTCCCCTATTTTGTTACATAATTTGCTATCAAGAGCTGTGATAAATTCTTTCAAATCTTTGAACTGCTTGAGCTGCTCGTCCGCCATCTTGGTTTCTGTCTGTTGTACAGTGCACGTGGCCAAGTTTATATATAGGTAAGTTGACAATGTTGGTTATATTTTGAATTTTGTGAAAATTTTGCATGTTTTTCCAATTTAAAGTATCACTACGCTTACTTCATGTATACCAATATGACATATTAAGTATCAAAATAACAGTAGTTTTATGCACTGTACACTATCATAATTCATTTTCAAAATAACATTCTCCTGTGACATTTATCTGTCACTTTGTTAGGATACCCCCGTCACTCGACCTGGTGTTATGCAAGGAGGTCCACTACGGTTATCAGTTGTAATTATGAATAATCATATATGCAGTTATTGATCAATTTTACGTATCTACATATGGCAAAAGAGTAAAAGAAATCAAAGAGGGGGCCAAATGTTGACCCCACCTTTGCATAAATTAGAAAGAAAAAAATATTCAGTGAATTTTGTCATATTTTGCATAGTTTTTCTCCTGGAAACTGTAGAGCGCATGCTTGAACAAACTCAAAATCAAAGGATAATGTGTAGGCACCTATAATACATCTTTAGGAGAAATAAGAATTTTGTTCAAGAGTGCACTCTATGGTAACTTATAAGAGAAAAACAAGGCAAAAAACTGTCAAAATTGACTGAATATTCAAATTTCATTAATTTATGCAAATATTTACTGATTAACATGGCAGCCATAATTGAGAACCTAAATAAATGTTCAAATATTAGTACCAGGGAAGTATTCAAAATTAAAGAAACAGTCATTTGAAAGTTCTATTGAAGATTTTTAATTATGATGGATTTGGGGGCCAAAAAAGGCCAAAACCATACATAGTCCTTTCTTCTCATCTTTTGCTGGTTGACAGCTAATGATCCATTCATGGGTAGTGAGTATTTCAATTCAATTCTTTTATTATCATAAGCAATACAGTTTATTGATATTTATTGTCTCCAATATTAGCTTGGGAAGGCAGGCCTGTGCTCTGTTAGCCTAATGGTACATCTTGTCACAGGCCTATTACAAAAGTAGCAGAGAATTGTTCACATATGTGATTCAACCCTGGAAACAGAATGCCTTAGCCCGCTCATTAGGTTAGTCCAATATCTACCTGAGGGAAGAAAGATTTTGCATCACTACCACCTGTTGACCTCCTGTTGCTAGCTAGGAATAAATGCTGAGTCCGACATGATTTGCCGTCATCTGCTTCTGGAAGATGCATTCCAATCACTCGATTAGGAGCTCTTCTGCTTCAGGAAAATCTTCTGGGTCTTCCATTCACGAGGTGGAAGATTTCCATTCCAAGATGACGGAGGTAGCCAACGCAATTTTGAAATGCGGTGATTGAGGAATGTGTTAAATTGCTACACATTCATCGCTTTTAACAGCTATCGTAGTAATAATCTGCATTAAATATGTATGTTTTGCAGTTTCGTCATATCCAACACGTTTCAGAGTTATTCAAATGAGGTGTTTACAGAAAATAAGCGTGTGGTTAGAAAACCAGGTATTCCAATGGCAGTGTAACGTGTTGGCAATAGGCCCTGTTCCAAGACCTAATTCAATATTGATACAAACACTAGAATCTATATATATTTACAGTGACGTGCTATATATATGGTCTTGCACGTTTTGCCATTTTCAGTGTATTTATGGAAACAAGACGATTCCTGATACAGTTGTGGTCAATGCATTTATTCCTTCTAAACAAGCACGCGTTAGTTTGTTTATGTCTGCCATATTGGAAGTCTTCCGACTGCTTGATTGTCATACCCAGAATGCTCTCTTCTGAGAGCATCTTCCTCTTCCGGAAGACGGCAAATTGTGTCGGACTCTGAACAGGTAGCTCAAGTTGTCAAATTATTGTTAGCTTTATCATTCTTTTCATGTGTTAAATACTTTTTATGTGACTTAATTAACATAATATTAATATGTACACTGTATACATACTTGTCATGTATCAGTCAATCTGTTTTAATATTTTATAACTGGTAAATATGTGATGCATCTTTATTAACAAATACCCCATTGGGTGAAATTGTGTGATCACCTTTTCATGGACAAATTTTCACCTGGATTCAAGCTTCATACTGACTTGATCATCTTTACATATCTCCCTATATTACTGATTACCGCAGTATACGGTTATCAAATTTATTGAAGCCATTATGGAAGTTTGATATTTGATATCATAAGGTCACAATAGTTGTCTTTCTTGATAAATCTGAAGTATTACAGGATGTCAGAGTTATCTACAGATGGTTTCCCATAATTCCATGTTATTGGGTGAATTTCCGGCATGTGTAGTCATATTTTGGGAGAAGAGCCATGCACATGTGTGCACAACAAAAAGTTTGAATTCCCACCCTCCCGACCCCTATTAAACATTTGCGTAATTTTCTTTAGAGCCTTGACTATGAATGCATATTATGATTTATTATGTTACCATTACATAACTTTCCAGCAATTTCAAGATGTTTAGCACTTGGGAAGTGAGCGCACATACTGCTTTTAGATTTTGTATCTTTCAGTTTACACCAACTTCATCATGGATTTCTGGAATGCCTTGCAGGGACATTATAAGTCTGCTTAGTGTGTGTGGCCTGCATTAACTGCAGACTCATTCTGGAAATGAGTAGTGTTTCTTTTCTAAATTTGATTGTAAGTATAGTCTTCGGACAAATATCACAAGTGGAGAGGTGTAGTCTTATTACCAAAGACATCTTATTATTAGATTCAAAGTTAACTTATGCCCAAAATATTGGCCAGTGACTGTGGACAGTGGGCAGAGATACTGAATTGCTAAATGATTTACATGAATCATTCATGTACATGACTTCAAATATTTTCTTTGTCACAGATTTGCTGTTTTAAACATGGCAGAATTCTGGCAAGTTGGCAACATAACATGTTTCAATAAGCAAATACCCTATCTTATTAAAGTGTTACATGTATCATGGTTAGGGCTGCTATGTTTTCCCAAGGGACATAATTCAGTGGTAATGTAATAAGGGGAAGATAACTCTGGCAAGAGATGGATATCATATTGGTTAATAGGCAACTGCTTGGAGCATGGCGTGCTTTGCACAAGGGTTGTGTTCGCCTGGTTTCCCAAGGAACAGTCCTATCTGGTTGCTGTTTTGTCCGGTCACCATGCTGGTGGGCATACAGCTGGAGATATAAGTCTTTGCCAGAGTTCCAGAAATGCTTATTGATACATGTAGCCATCTAGTTTTGTGGGGTTTTGAATAAATCTGTGGCCTTCAATCCCATTACTGTGTTGGAGTTGTTTTTTTCTTAAGAATAATGGTCTTGAGATAAATATGCTGTATTGCATTTGGTAAATAAAAAAACTTGAACTTGAAACCTACATGTATTGTCGTTGGAACCTGCCATTCAAGTGCATCAAAGAATTATTTTTTTGACAACCCATCTGATTTATCACCTGGCCAATATCCTATATCAAAAAGAGAATTAAGAGGATTCAAGGCTTACCTACTGCTCGGTACAACATTGAACGAAGAGCCTCCACTTCTGTGGCAAGCTCGGCCAGACGAAAGTGGACCACCTGGTTGCTAAGGATTGGCTGTCCAAAAGCCTTTCTTTGGCTAGTATATTCTGCTGTCGTAGTAATACACTTATCCAGGGGAAGTATAGCTGTAATAAGACATTTATGTTCACCTGGACATTATAACACCAAGCAAGCAAAGAAAAGGTATGTGATATTCCAAGTGATTTTCAAACATTTTCAAACAAAATGTTTCAGTCATTAATTTGTGAGATCTATATTAATCAACAGATTGGGAACTCAGTAGTCAACTGTTTGAAATGACAGATGAATAAACAAGATAGAAATGGTTAGTAAAATAATCTGATATACACATTCAAACTGGATTTATATAACGCCCAATTATTCATTTGGCAAATAAAATATCTCAAAATTAAGTAATCTAAAACACAATCATGTAAATAAGTAGACATGGAAATTAGGCACTAGATATATACATTGTATTCACAGTTTATTTGCCAATGTTGAATTATTTAATTTTAAGTAATTCTTTTTTACGCTAATGATTACCTGCTGCTGTAGCCCACAAGCGTTCCTCCTGGAACTGCAACATTTGATATGTGAATCCCATTCCTTCCTCTCCAATGATATACGAGGCTGGTATGCGTACATCCTCCAGATGTACCTGTGCAGTGTCAGAACTCCTCATTCCCATCTTGTCTATTTTTCGTGCTAACTTCACTCCTTCAACATAAGTTATGGAATTAATAATATTAGCTTCATAATTAATTACCTTTAGTTATTATTATGCACATACTCCAGGTGAGCAATGCCCTAAACAGCCCATTTGAGGGATGTAACATTCAGAGAGGTTATATTTATATATATAAGGATTGAATGGCAATTTTTTAAATTTTCATACCGGCATGGGTGTTAATTGAATGAGAAAATGTCTGTGAATTACAACATGTCCAACATATACTCATACTTCTATTAGGTCCAGCCCCTCTACCCCCAGGGGTGAATGGACCTTCCATTTATATGACATTGAATCCCCTTTGCTCAAGGATACGTAATAATAAACCAAATTTCTTTCAAATCCCTCCATTCATGCATAAGCAAAAGGATTTTAACTATTTATCCCATTTTTCACCATAATGGTCTCCACCTCTCTGCCCCTAGGGGAGCCACACTCTCAGTTTATACAAAATTGAATCCTCCTTGCCCATGGATGTCCTACACATAAATTGGTTGAAATCCTTGAATTCGTACAACAGGAGAATGATTTTGGAAGATTAATCTAAAGTGAAAGTCCCCTATTGCCCCAACCTCTGCTCCCAAGGGGGTCACACCCTCAGTTTAAACAAAAAATTGGGTTCCTATTGCTTAAAGATGCACTGCATAAAATTTGTTTTCAATCCTTCAAATCGTACTGAAGAAGAAAGGTTTTAAAGCTTTACCTCAATTTCCACTATCTCGCCGTCCCTCTGCTAAAAAGGGGGTCACACTCTCTGCTTACACAAAATTCTTTGTGCAAGGATGCTTTAAGCCAAATTATGTCAAAATCCACTGAGTCGTTCAGGGCTTGTAGCATTTTAAAGGAAAAGCTGATGAACAGAAGGACAGATGGATTAATGGATGGATGGACGATTGGATAGACAACAGATGCCGCACCATAGCATAAGCTCACCAGTCCATTGGACCTGGTGTGGTAAAACTCCCTTCAATGGAACTGAAGTGGATGGATTTTAAACATTTATTTACCTCAAGTTCTCCCATTTGGCCCCGCCCCTCTGCCAACAGGGGTGTCACATCCTCCATTTATACAAAATGTAGTCCCTTAAATTTTGCCCAAGGATGCTGAGAATACACAAAATTTGGCTGAATTCCCTTCTATCGTATACACTAAAGGAGATACTAAAGGAGAAAGATTTCAATTGTGCCGTAAGGAGTGAAAATATCTGTTTTTGGTCATTTTTAACTAGGCAGCAGTGACCTCGAGCTCCTTTAACAATTTTATCAAATAGAACACATAGTTGTAACTACCATATCAATATATTGAAAACCTGAGCTCCTTCTTTTTGTTATCACCTGAACAAAACACCATTTTTCTTTGCAGGAACCGATTGTAACCAATTATAATATCACGACTGTATTTATCTCCTTACGCCTAATTCAAAAGAATATATGGTCATGGGATGGGGATCAAAACCTTTTCAAAAGTTTGTCAAAGAAATAAAGTCCCTAGAGGTGGGCCCAGACCCCAGGGTCAATTCTTACATGGTTCATACAAACTTTTGACCTCAAAATTTAAGGACTTTTCAAGGGTTTTTCAAGATAAATTTTGATATTGCAAAATAAACAAACAATTTTAATAAACATTACCTTTACTATTTTCAGTTTTCTTCTTTTTGCAAGAAAACAATAAATTTACTGCTTCAAAGAATTTACTTATTTTGACAAGTCCTCGAGTTTCTTAAGTTAATCCTGCTTTCCCCTCAACCTTTTTCTCATGCAGTTTGACTGTGTTACTAGGTAGTGTAAGCACAGGAGTTTGACTCCTGTGGTGTAAGCTTTCCTTTCCTTTTCAAGTGTTTTTTACTTTTCATATGTGATGTAAGGGCGTGTTCCCACATCTTGTCCAGATCAATAATTTTGTAACACAGCGAGCACAAAGCAAAAGTCCTGTCACCCTTGAACACTCTCAACCAGAAAAATCTGGGATCGGCAAGCCATTTGCGGTTAAAAACGCACTTCCGCATCGCAGTTGTTCCGTGTGTGTCCGCTTGTTAACAATACTCTTAATGCGCATGACCGTATGTTACTTTGGCGCTTTGACTACGAGACTTAATCAATTCAAATGCAGTTATGATACGAATTGAAAAAGTAACACCGGAAACTTCATCGGTATATATTTTCCGGAATTATTAAAAATTACGATCTGCAATTTGACGATTAATCTGTGTTAAAAATAATGATTGTTTGCAACGAATGTTTACAAAATACTGAATTAACATGACAGAAACTAACTTCACTGATTTTCAAGGTTTTTTTAATGCTTACATCAAATTCAAAGGTTTTTCAAGACCTGTGCGAACCAAGTTATATTATGATTGTGTTTGTCTCTTGATGCCCAGCAATGGTTATATATGGTTATATGGGGTGGGGATCTACCGTAAATTTGCGGGTATAGTGAGCAGGTACGTTTTTGGGGTCAGATTTGAACAGAAAACTAGAAATATGTCAGAATGACATGAAAGTCACCCCATTATTCTGTATGATCATTTTCCAATAAATCATTGACCAAGTTACAACGGATATATTTCCACCTGTCAATCAAAATGGTAAACAATTACCAGGTGTAAATATATACATGCTGTTCAGGTAGCCATGCCAACACATGAAATTAATAAGAAAGCATGTTGCAAATATAACGTAAGCGTTGACCGACACCTCGAATATGGGAGATATGCGCGCTTACACGGTCACCTGGCATGGGCAGAACAAGGTAACGTTAATTGGAATTATAATAACGATGTTGTTTCACAACAATGAGTTTCAGAAAAGATTCAAACTTATATACGGATATGCGCGCTTACACGGTCACCTGGCATGGGCAGAACAAGGTAACGTTAATTGGAATTATAATAACGATGTTGTTTCACAACAATGAGTTTCAGAAAATATTCAAACTTATATACGGATAAATCTACTATTTTATGTTATGAAATACACTTTTCCAAGTAGTTTTCTGATCGTCTGCAAATCCGACTGAATCGGTCATCGATATCGGCAGAATGTGTACGCTTAAAGGCAGTCATTCCGATGAGGACTGCCAACAGCCGAATTCGCGAGACATGAAGAACACCAAACAATTGTGATTTCAAAAATTCTCCTTCGAAAAGAAAAGATTGGAATGTTTTGAACCCGTTGATATTTAATGTTCAAACTCAAACTTTTATCATTATCGGTTCAGTTCGCACGGATGTCACCTTGTAAATACCTGCCGGTTAATATTATAACGCAACGTTGACTCTTTGCGGTACACAAACTTGCTAACTTCGCCACATTACCCATGTCGTTTTGACACATTCCTACGGTCAAGATTGAAGAGTTCAGCATGAATTTACCCAAGAACGACATTTTAACCACAGAGTGATAAATGCAATCCATATCTTCGTTATGTTTCCCGATACGTGGTATGTTACAGTATTTATCAATTCACAACGTAACGTCCTGAAAAGTTGAGCCTACTTTACTAGAGTTTATTTATCCAATTCTATAGTATTATATGACTTAAACTTGCAACTTTTCGGAATTGTTAAATTGGCAATGCAATCAGGGATTATTCAACGAAATTTAGCAGTTTTATTGCCGCGAGCATATTTCAAAACATTTCCGAAAATCCTCGAAATTTTTTACGAGAAATGGTCGCGACCAAGGACTGGTTTTGGATTGTTCTTGAGTATCGTGTACACCCCTTTCTTGACACTTCATTTTCCCCTTAAAATAGTGCGCACTATACGCAAATATTAACGGTAGTCGTTGGTCAGACATAAAATATCTAAATCAGTCAATATCAATTATAATACGACAGTTTACCCCTTCGGGAACCTCAAAGGTGCCTGATTCATACTCGGAACATCTTAAGGTTATATGTAATTCCTGTGTGAAATTTTTAGGTTTGATGCTATTCCTTTTTTAAAAGGAAATCGATATCTGAGTTATCCAAGAGCTTGTAATTATATATAGCGCCAGGTATATTCCGACAGAAGCAAGACACTGAATAGCCCAACAAACAGAGGTCAAAATCTGGGACTGAAACCAAAATTAACAGTCCCAACTGGGGTTCCCCAGGAGTGAATAAAAATGGAAAGAAAATGATTTATTTTTTTGGGGAAAAAAATCCTAAAAACAAACGGTATCAAACAGGAAAAGTAGCATCAAAATCAGAATAAATGTCCTTTCCCAGGAAATACAATGCAAAAAATACGATTATTTTTCAGAAAAATACTTTCAGCCTGATATTCCATTTTTCGACCCCGATGCTGTAATAAGGTTAATGAATCATCTAAATAACTAGAACACTGACAGGTCAGTAAGGGCCCCATCTTGTGGCAATATATTCCCCATAATCATCAAGAAGAAATCTGCCCATATAGCTGAGCTTGCCTCTGACATTTGGACTTCAAAAAGAATCGCAAGGTAGCAAAATATACATTTTACATGTACTATGATGCAAGTTTTGTTTCCTTCCACCTCCATATTTGCTAGGCTAACAGAAATGTAAATACCGGTGCAATACTCATTTGTTAGCTTTGATATGTTTTATTTCACTTTAAATACCTCCTCCATCAAGAGCCAGGGTCAAAGTCAGAGTTCCACTTTGTCTTTGACCTTTGGACCCAAAGGACCTTGACCTTTAACCCAGTGACACTGATCTTTGGTCAGTTGAATTATTCTTTGATTCTGACCAACTTTGCTTCATAATATCATAACAAAATGTTCATCAGTGAAAAATACGACCTTGACCTTGAACCTTTGGAACTTGTGACCTTGACCTTAGGTCATTTGACTCGGTGTTAAGTTCTGAACAACTTTGCTTCATAATAACATAAAAATAATGTTCATCAGTAAAAATATACAATATTTGACCTTGACATTGACCCAGTGACCTTGACCTTTCATCAGTTGACTCCTTGTTTAATTCTGATCAACTTTGCTTCATCATGTCATAACAAAATGCTCATCAGTGAAAAGATGCAAAATTTGACCTGTATGACCTGACCTTTGACCTTTGACCAAGTTTCATGTAAATCGGTCAATTAATACCAAAGTTATTAGACAGGAACAAAATTTTTGGACAGACAGACAGACAGACAGACAGACAGAGTGATTACTATAGGGCACCCGTATCCCCTAATAACAACACTTTGTCAGGACCATGAGTTGATCATTCCTACAAAGTTTCAGTTCAATTGGCCTAGCAGAACTTGACTTTAAGTTTGAAATATTTTTTCAAAATGGCGGCCATATCGGCCATATAGGATTTCTGATCAACCCGAAAAATAACAACACTTTGTCGGGGAGATGTCAGTAACCTTCCCATGAAATATTAATGAAATCCCTTTGCCAGTATTTCAGCTTAAGTTGAAAATGTAAAATGTTAACGGACAACGGATGACGGACGAAGACGGATAGCAATAGGTCACTTGAGCTAAAGCTCAGGTGACCTAAAAGCCTAAATATACCACAATCGCCAAAAAACAACGATACCAGATAATATGCCTACTCCTAACACGATTTCTCACCCAGGTGAACAGGTGAGAAATCGTGTCGGGGTGAGAAATATAGTTGCGAACGTAGCAATTTTAGCAAGATGTCTCACACGGCTGAGAAATCGTATCGGGGTGAGAAATCGTGCGGTAACAAATGTCCTAGGAAAATGAGTTATAGTGGATAAAGTCTGGCAGTCGTGGACCAAACGCTCCATTCTGCACATTTCAGTAGGATCTGGTGCTAAAAACGACGTTACTTAGACATTCAAAAATATGCACAGGCATTTGATGATTTGTTTCAATCAATCAAATTGATCCTGACAATAAGAATTCAAACCCTTCTCGTATAAAACTGATATTTTATATGAGTAGGGTGCGACTTCTTATTGTCAGGACCATTTTAATTGACATAAAGAAAATGCCTGTGAAAACACAGTATCATATTTATTATTATGAATTAATTTTATAAGTTGTGTTGTTGACAAATCTTTTTATTTCTCAGCTTTGAATTTGGTATTGTGGATGAGGATCAGCTAGATCTGCTGGAAGAATAGTTCGATAAATGTAGAATGTACCTATTACATCATTAAACTATCAAAGTTCTAATTTAATATCTACTTTTCTAATATTTGTTGCGAAAAAAGACGTCGGGCGGTATGACCCTCTTTTAAGTATATCCGGGGTTGGCAGCTATGCATCCCAGCATGCTACTGGCCAAATATCATCACCCTGGGCATTTTGGGCCAGTGAGCTAATAATACTTTAGTTTTTATTCAAAAAACACTTCAAAGTCCTTTTAAAGATTTGTTTTGTTTATATTCATTTTAATAGAAATTGTAATATACTGAGTAGAATCATAATGGAACATTTGTGATTTGTTTAATTTAAAATGTCCATAGCTGAGTCAGTGTGCAAACCCCCCTAAAATTCCCAAAGATAACAATAAATGTCCTATATTGGTTCCAACAAAGTAAGTAAAGGCTACAGTACAACATAAATGAGATAATGATATGTTCTGTCTTATTAATTTTCACTTATATGTTATTCACAGAATTATTTTTTTCCAAAACTCACCAAAAACGGATCTGATCACACTATTTTGCACTGGAAAGTTCTGGCATGTATGATTAACAGTTTGGTTATTTGCTCTTTATATTTACCTGGTAAGTTCATAGGCAAACAGATAAGTGATTTGTTGCCATAGACAGATCCATCCGATGTATTAGCCAGTAAGCACATCCAGTCTGCCTGGAATGCATTGGTGGTCCACATCTTACCCCCATTTATCACCAGGTCACCACCTTGTTTTACTGCTGTCGTCTTTATACCTAAACAAACATTCAAGGAAATTGAAGACAGTATAAATGAGACAAATATCTCATTGAAATAAACAGGTTATTTTTTTCATTTTTTGCCAGTTCATTGCCATACAATTTTAGATGACATACATGTATGTACCATGAACTTAGATATCATCTAATTCAAATATAAATCCAGGTATGTACATCAAATATTATCCATCGTACACCACAGATATTTCTATTTGATTCATAGACTAGAATTTTGTGTTTGTGAACAGAAACATATGTCTCCCGCCCTTAATAGCCAATAGAAAAACTCTGGTATAAAAAAATTAACAAAGGTCCATATCGCTTTATATAGTGGGGCCTGGAACCCGAATTAAGAGTTTGACACTCCTACTTACCCAAGATACATTAAAACTTTATCAAGTTTGGTCAACGTAGGTGAAACTAAACACTGACAGGTCAGTAAGGGCCCTGTCTTGTGGCAATATATCCCCCATAATCATCAAGAAGCAATCTGCCCATATAACTGAGCTTGACGTTTGACATTTGGACTTCAAAAAAAATTGCAATGAAGCAAAATATACATTTTTCATGTACTATGATGCGAGTCTTGTTTCCTTCCACTTCCATATTTGCTGGGCTAACAGAAATGTAAATACCAGTGCAATACTCATTTGTTAGGTTTGATATGTTTTATTTCACCTTAAATGCCTCCCCCATCAAGAGCCAGGGTCAAAGTAAGAGATCCACTTTGTCTTTGACCTTTGGACCCAAATGACCTTGACCTTTAACCAAGTGACCCTGATCTTTGGTCAGTTGACTCATTCTTCAATTCCGACCAACTTTGCTTCATAATAACAAAATGTTCATCAGTGAAAAATACAAAACTTGACCTTGACCCTGAACCTTTGGAACTTGTGACCTTGACCTTTGGTCAGTTGACTCTGTGTTAAGTTCTGAACAACTTTGCTTCAAAATAACATACAAAAAATGTTCATCAGTAAAAAAGATACAATATCTGACCTTGAAATTGACCCAGTGACCTTGACCTTAAGTCAGTTGACTCCTTGTTAAATCCAAACTAACTTTGCTTCATAATGTCATAACAAAATGTTCATCAGTGAAAAGATACAAAATTTGACCTCAACCTTTGAACAAGTGACCTTGACCTTTGGTCAAATGACTCCTTGTTTAATTCTAACCAACATTGCTTCAACGTGTCATAACAAAATGTTCATCAGGGAAAAGATACAAAATTCGACCTTGACCTTTGACCCAGTGACCTTGACCTTTGGTCAATTGACTCTTTGTTTAATTCTGACCAACATTGCTTCAAAGTGTCAAAACAAAATGTTCACCAGTGAAAAGATACAAAATTTAACCTTCACCTTTGACCCAGTGACCTTGACCTATGGTCAACTGACTCCTTGTTTGATTCCGACCAACTTTGCTTCAATGTGTCATAACAAAATGTTCCCCAGTGAAAAGATACTGATTTTGACCTTAACCTTTGACCCAGTGACCGTGACCTTAAGTCAGCTGACTCTTTGTTAAATTCCAACCAACTTTGCTTCATAATGTCATAACAAAATGTTCATCAGGAAAAAAGATACAAAATTTGACCTTGACCTTTGGTCAGTTGATACCTTGTTTGATTGTGACGGACGGACAGACAGATGAATTAGTATCTTCGATGCGGGGCCCTAATAACATGGAAGTTATACCATGGACAAACTTCGGTATTAAAAATAAACAAAGGGCTATAACTCTGTATATAGTGACGTACCAGATCTAATTCCAGTGCACTGCAACCCTTCTGAGTGATACAGGTATACTTCAAGTTTGATTAAGATATCTTTAATGGTTTAGAAAGTATGCCGTGGACAAACTTCGGTATTAAAAATAAACAAAGGGCCATTTCTCTGTATATAGTGGGGCATTAAATCTGATTTTAGTGTGAGAAATTCCGTCTTCTCAAGATACATCAATATGGTAAGTATGGTCAACGTAGGTGAAATAACATAGAACTTATGCTCTGGACAAACTCAGGTATTAAGATTAAACAAAGGGCCATAACTCTGTATATAGTGGGGGCAGGAGACCTAGTTCAAGTGCACTGCACACCTTCTGTGGGTGATGCAGGTATACTCTAAGTTTGATTAAGATATCTCCAACGGTTTAAAATTTACAGTCCGGACAAGAATTTACTGAAAATGTGCACTTATTTGACCTTTGACCTTGAGGTGAAGGTCACAGTGACCTAATTCCAGTGCACTGCACACGCCATGTGGGTGATATGCATGCATACCTAAAGTTTCATCAAGATATCTTTAACGGTTTAAAAGTTATAGACCGGACAAGCCAGATTAGAAGAAGTAGAAGTGCAATATGTCTCCCTTCATTCGAAGGGGAGACATAATAATCAAGCTGACCATATCACTGTTGAATTTTATTGAGGAAAAAGTATTTAAAAAGAAATTAATCTAACAGAATACTGTAAAATTTACTTGATGAGGGAAAATGGTAATCCAAGAATTATTTTGAAATATGAATATTGATGGAATGGAAAAGAAATCTACAGCTGATTCAGGTATAATCCTTCAAATCCTCACACACAATGATTCATACTTGGAAATAGAATTTATTAATCTGATAGACATTTCCTTTATGATGTTTCACAAATGATCACAACAGTGACAACTACCCAGTAACCACAACAGCGACCACTACAAAGTAATCACAACAATTACCACAACCAAGTAATCACATCAGCGACCATTACCCAGTAACAACTACCCAGTAAACACAACAGTGACCATTACCCAGTTATCCCAACAGTGACCACTTCCCAGTTATCACAACAGTAGCCACTATCCAGTACTCATAACAGTGACCACTACTGTGAAATCACAATAGTGACCACTACACAATAATCAAAACACAATGACCACTATCCAGTCATCACAACAATGACCACCACCAAGTTATCACAACACTGACCCCTACCAGGTAATCACAACAGCAACACCTACCCAATAATCACAACACTGACCATTACCACATACTCACAACAGTGACCAATATTCAGTAAACACAACAGTGACCACAATCCAATAATCACAACAGTCACCACTACTGAATAATCAAAACAGTGACAAATATTCAGTAATCTCAAAAGTGACAACTACCCAGTAATCCTAACAATGACAACTACCAAGCAATGGCAACAATGACCACTACCCAGTTACCACAACAGACACTACTACCAAGTTATTAAAACAACAACCACTACCTCAGTAATTACAACAGTGACAACTAACCAGTAATCACATCAATGACCACTACTAAGTAACTACAATATAAATGTTTAAAAACTTGTTTGCATAGCATGAAATGCACTTCCTTGGCAAGTTTGCAGGTAGAGTCTGGGGATCCACCATTTCAGATCCGCCGTGACTTCTAATAAGTAAGCATCAATTAAAACTTGAGGGCATGTCTTCTCGACACCTTACCATTGAAAGCCAAAAAAACGACGCCAAGTTTCTATATAACGAAAGTAACCGACCACATATAAGCCTTATTATACATGTAATGAAAAGGTACAATCTTCATTTCAGCTAGAAAATGTCAAAACACATACCGCTGAATTCACTCCCCCCCCC